TAATATACTTTGCCTGAGATCATATGTTACTGTAATACAATATCTATAGAGATAGCACAAAGTCAGTAATTATTGGAAGCTGTAAGGACCTTCAGCACATTTTCTGCCAAGATTGCTTGTAGGAAAAGTGTCAGAAGCATCGGATTCAAAGTTTAAGCAAAATGCTTGATGTGCTTCTAATGCAGCAGATATGGATGCAGTTACAAAGAAATAAAGTGGTGAAAGAGACCAGAGAAGAATTCTCCTGGTGCTAATAAAAATGCAAAAATGGACAAAGATAATTTTCTAACTGTGTATCAGAACAATGAAATTGATGATGATAAAGAAGAATGTAGTGGATTAGCGAAGGAGAATAAAAATGGGATGCAGAAGAATGTGTGATTTAGAATGATTTCCTAGTAATGCTGTTTGAATTATAAACTCTTCATGAGCCAAGTAGTTAAAGATTGAGTTAACCAGTTACAGGGACAATCATACTGGTCAGACAGCCATGACAAGAGCAGTGAGAGTGGTCAACTTTGAGAAGATTGTAAACAACTATGGGCACTGTATCCATAGGAAAAGCTGTAGCTCCTCAAAGCAAGCTGTACAGATCCCTATATTTTATTCCAACTTTTTTAGATCTTGTGTGGATCTTACTTTTCTATCCAAAATAATGCAAGTGATGTAGTTGACTCCGAGATTTATTGTGATATATTTACATTCAACTATGTGTGCTAGAAGATGAGATAATACTTTTTTAAACATTTAAGTTTCAATAGTTAATATAACAGCATTGACTTTGAATAGAAAATAAAGTATATGTGTGTATGTGGCACTTACTATCTGATTCAGTACTTAAAGTAGCAAATGTATATTATATGAAATAACAACTCTGAAAATATAGTTGAAAATTATCTATGTTGCTGAATGTAGTCACTTACCATTCAGTTTCCACAATAACAAAGTTGTTGACTTGTTTTTATTGTTCTTTTACTATATTTACATGAAATTCAATATTAAAAAAATGTCCATTTTGACAAACCAGAAATGAGTGAAACTGATTAAAGCATTGTACTTGTATTTTGATATTTATTATTTAATTTTCTTACTTTAACTTACTAAACTTGTCAGTTACAAGGGGTTGATAAAGGCATTTAAAGAAAAGGGCTATAACTTAATTTTGTCAGGGATACTGCCCAGAATTAACTGTGGGGTTTGGACATGTTGGATACAGTTAAATAAGGTAGGGGCTGGCTTGTTTGCTAAGGCTATAAACTCAGCTGGAAGGGAAGTTTCAAACTAGGACTAGACAGTGGTGAGAGCCAGGAATAACTAATTGCAAAAAGAATAAGAGGCAGAGAAAAGTTTAGCATAGGAAATGAGTATAGAAGTAGTTATAAGGATAGACTTAATTGTTGCTGTTGTAATGCTAGAAGTATAAGAAATAAAATAGATTACTTTAGAGTACTGGTAGGAATGGAAGATTTTGATATAATGGGAATAACTGAAACATGGTTTAACATAGGTGATTTTGATGACAGAAATTTCTTTGAAATACAGGGTTACAGGCTATTTAATAGGGTAGGAGAGGTAGTTTTATATGTAAAATGTGAGTTACATCCTGTTGAAGTTGACGATATCAAAGATATTAGCAAGGAGATTGAATCCATTTGGGTTTCTATTAGTGGATATAAAGGGAAAAGGCTTTTAGTGGGAATTTGTTACAGACCACCAAATGATACTGATGAAATTAATGAGAAACTTTACAATGCGATTAAGATTTCATATGTTAATGAAGTCATAATTATGGGTGATTTAAATTTCAGGCATATAGATTGGGAAATGCTAGTCAAACCATGAGGAAGAAAGGTTTTTGGAAACTGTTCTGGATAGCTTTCTTCACCACTTAGTCAAGGAACCAGCTATAAACAATGCTATTTTATATTTATTGTTAATTTCAAATATAGAATGATTGATAGAGAGGGTGGAAATTGGGAGAACATCTGGGTGCAAGTGATCATTGCTCTATTAGGTTCAATGTTTTGCTGCATTTGGAGATAAGGAATAATGATGTTTTGGTTACAAATTTCAAAAAAATCAAATTTTGAAGAGATGCAACAAGAATCATCTGTTGTGAATTGGGCAGCTGAATTATTTGGAGACACTGATCAGATGTTGAAAATGTTTAAGTATTCAAGGTAAACATATTCCGTATAGAAAGAAAAGGGTAGCTGCAAGTAAAAAACCAGATTGGCTCACAAAGAGTTTAAGGGATAAAATTAAAGAAAAGCATCATGAAGTTAAGAAATTTAAATTGACTGGTATGACAGGTGACCTAGAAGATTATAGCAGATCAAGAAAGTTGGTAAAACAAGAACTTAGGATATCAAAAAGGATGTATGAGAAAAGGTTGGCTGAAAGTGTAAAAATTGACAGTAAGAATTTCTTTAAATACATGTTAAGATTGGGGTAGGACCCTTGAGGGGTGATAAAAGAAGGCTTGTATCTGATTATTATGAGATATCTGGGTTATTTTGCTTTTTCTTCAGTATTTACTAATGAAGATTTAAGCAGTATTTTACATCTTGAACAGCTGACAGATGGAAACAAGACTGCATTAATTCTGAGCTGGTTAAGAAAAGATTGGGAAGTTTAAAAAATGATAAGGCTCCTGGGCCAGATAATATTTCCTCAAAGGTTTTGAAGGAGGTTAAAGATTGGATATGTGAGCTACATGCTACTATTTTCTGTCAGTCCTTGAATAGTGGGCAGGTAGATGAGGGTTGGAAGTTAGCTAATGTAACTCCACTTTTCAAGAGAGGTGATAAAAATTGGCCCAGTAATTATAGACCCATTAGTCTTACTTCAGTTGTGTGAAAAGTTCTGGAAAGTCTGATAAAAAATGCTTTGCAAAGTCATGTAATAAAGTTTAGAATTTTAGTGGATAGTCAACATGGTTTCACTAAGGGAAAAACTTGCCTTACAAATCTTTTGACATTCTTTGAATAGATTACTGCTTGTGTAGATGAGGATAAGAGTGTAGATTTTGTGTAGCTGGATTTTTAGAATGTATTTGACAAGATGCCACATAAAAGCCTTGTAAAATAAATTAGATCTATAGGTGTGGGGGATAAGTTAGCAAATTGGATAAAAGAGTGGCTGGATGGAAGAAAGCAGAGAGTTGTTACAAACAGAGTTCAGTCAAACTGGATTAATGTCACAAGTGGGGTACTTCAGGGCTCAGTCTTAGGATCTTTGCTATTTTTGATTTACATCAATGACACAGAAGAAGGGATAGTCAATAAATTACTTAAATTTGCAGATGATATTAAGGTCTTGGGTGTTGCTAGCTGTGAAAAGAATGCTGCTGATTTACAAAAGGATTTAGATCATATAGTGAATTGGGCAAATAAATAGTGAATGGGTTTTAATTATAATAAATGCAAGAT